CGTCAGTCAGATTAGTTTTGAATTGATTTTCTTGTGTTATTATGTATTAACTACAACAGCGGTAAAATAGTTCACTGCACTCTGCGAAAACTAGCCTAAAATGTAAAGGTCGCTGTGACCTTCTATCATTAATTCAAGTGCTAATCTATTGTGAAAAAAAGTGACTAATTGAGCATTCTCATGTAAAAGTATAATTTCAAGAAATATAACTTTATCCTATTTGCCTATTACGTGAAAAAACACACAATTGCAATTGGTAAACAAAAAGAAAAAATTATTTAAAAAAAAACAGATCATGATAATTAATTTCTGGTAAGACCCTTGATAATTTTTAGTTTAGGTTTTTTAAATGTATTTTATGCTTTTCAGTGTATTATTGCCAGGAATTTTTAAATTAAAAAAACCGAAACAAAAACATATCCTTCAACATTTTGAATTATTATTGTAGTAGTTTACTAGCTTTACATCTACAAAATCTAAACGTCCATTTACCAAATCAGCGTTTTATTGCTTTCAAAGTATTCCAAATTAGACTTCACACTTGTTGCACGAAAATCATCAATAGCAAAAGTTATTTGTACAATAATGCAAATGTCAATGAGAATTAACACTGTTAATGTTTTCTGCTTAAACCTGTATTTTGAATTATATTCAAAACAAGTTATTTAACATAACTGCAACGGCCAATAATTCAAACGTGAATTTTTGTATGGAATGTTTTGTTTATTAAAAGTACAATGAAGATTTTTGTAAATCATATAGTTTGTAAAACACCATAGTCGGTTATCATAATTATAGGAGAAATGAAACAAATATAGGAAATTAGTATAGTTATATAGATCGGTAGTAGACGGATATCCTCGAATACGAGTGGCCAGCTATACTATAGACCCCAGGAACGTCTTCCTTTTGAAAAGAACATTTCATTTATAATATTTTATATGTAGAGTAAAAAATTATTGAATGAATGGGGTCGACAAAAAGACTGAAATAAGAGTAAAAGATGCTAAGTTGCCAGAACCGAGGCCAAACATATACCAATAATTCTTTCTCGTAGGATATGTTTAAAAATAAATGTTTAAATTGAGTTGAATACATTTCTGCTTGAAGAATAATATCGAACCAATTAACTTTTCTAAAGAGAATGTAATTAATTAGGAAGTTGTTTTGTATGAATTTTCACAATAGATTTCCAGTTATTTGAAAATAATATGAAAATGTCTTGAGTGCTCGTTTATTTGTATATTGTGAGTGTTATTTGTTGTTTGTAGATGAAGGTTTGTATAACTAGTAATTGTATTTGGAGACGACGGAATAAAACTAATTATATTTATTGTGATCATTATACTTAATTTAATGAAAACCAAATCACTCTTAAAAGTGAGCGTGCATGTGTGTATGTGCGCGCGCTCGTGTGTGTATATGTGTGTGTGCGCGCTCGTGTGTGTATATGTGTGTGTGTGTGTGTGCGTGTGTGCGCGCGCGTGTGTGCGCATACGTTTGACTGAGTTTCCGAACATGTATACTTTTCTACTTGAGAGCAATTCATTTTTCTCTCTTAGTCGAAGAAAACGAATATGAAGAACAACAAGCAACACAATATCAAAAACATTGTATTAAATTAAGAGTTTTACCAATATTCTTAAGACGATAATGTAGAATTATTAGAAAACTTTATAAAAATTAAATAACAGAAGATTAGAAATTATTCAGCTGTGACTTCAATTCTCGGCATAACTAATGTGTCGAATTGTAGGGTATTTAAATCTACAGTGTGTCTTTAAGGGACAAACATTTAGATGTCATGACACAAAACGACCTAACATAATGCGCTAAATTTTAAGATAGTTACTTCTCTCTCAGACGTATCGAGAATATTAATATAGTAGTTTTCAAACTGGCAGCGTAAATGAAAAGGTATACCGTGCTTGTGGCACTTGCTGTTAACCACAACGATTCGGAAATAGCTAGCTGTTTGGAAATGGAGTATTATACGGGAGGAACAATAAATGTGTTTCTGTGACCCTACAGAGGTGTTCACGATGACGCAAAGAAAGTTCATAACATCTGTAAGGGCCTTGTGCATTGTAACCAATCGGTTGTCCTTCAGTACTAAAGACTTATTGAAGGCCATCATCGTAGACGTGATATACTTCAACCATCTTCCGAGGTTATCATCGAGGTAATCTTTCTTTGTTTTACTAAGCTAAATATAAGTACATGTTTCTTGAAAATATACTGCTTTTTGTTGACTATAATTGCTCTGCTTTATATTATAATTTGGATTTTCATCATATATATATATATATATATATATATATATATATATATATATATATATATATATATATATATATATTAATTACCTGGCACAACTCTGTATGTTAAACATATGCTCGCTGTCTCTTGTTATTGTTATTCTATTTTACCGTGTTTCTAGTGAACATTGTCGGGAGTCACATAACGGCAAGTTTTTTTAACGCTATGTGTTTCTGTTATTAAGGTTGTTTACATTTCCCCTCACTTGTTCATTGCGTTACTTTCAAAATAATGAATTTACGAACATTTTTCCTTCTCATCACCTACTCAGGCGAATAGCTTCATGCATTATATAAAAAACATTTGTGGGTGTTACCAAGGAAAAATAACCTGTTATTATTGCTAAAACAACGAATATATTATTGAAAATAACGGATTTCGCCAAGGCGTATTCACCAGATGTATTGCGCAAGATTTGCTTTCGCAAATAAATAAATAAATCTAAATAAAATAGCTATACTTTCGATGAATAAACAAAAAACACCCAATATGTCTATGCTCTGCTCAATCAGATGTGTCAAATTAGGCAGGCTATTAATGAGAGTGATTTCATTGTTTGCAATATTAAAATAAGTTACCTTGGTGCTTTAGACTGTCAAGAAATTCAACAAGCATAATATTTTGGAAGTATTTAAAATTTTAAGCACCGAATCATTTGCATTAATTGTGGTCCTAATTATTGCAAATTCACATGAAAACAGATCACTGCTTTAAATTGCAATAGATTTTCGTCTTTAACCAAATGATGCTCTGATGAATAGCATGAGAAGATTTTCTACTTACTCCTCTATTTTCTCTCTATTATTTCTCCCTCTTTCCTCCTCTTCCATTCTTTCGCTTCCTCTTCCAACTCTCTCTCATTTACCACGATTTGTATACCAAGGATAATAAAGTTTCTGTTACATACAATTATGGTGTTCACAATTATGCGTTTTTTTTGTAAACTCAAATTGTAAGGAAATATGATGTTATCATTTCGGCCTAGTGGCTTGTATACATGCTTGACTTTTTAATGAAGATGCCTGCGTCTTATATTGCGAAAATATGCAAGCAAACATATTAAAAAAAATGGAGCCCCAAATCAAGATGAATCTTGCATACTGCTAGCCACACTGCCAATTTCACCAGTATTTGATGGGACATGAAAAAACAGGATTTGCGAGAACCTACCATTCATTTCCACTTTTTCTCCATCTCTCACTATATATATATATATATATATATATATATATATATATATATATATATAATCTCTATGTTTATTTTTAAGTAAATCTACATAGATACATTCTCTGTACAACTGTGCATCCATATATCTGTATATATATATATATATATATATATATATATATATATATATATATATATATATATATATATATATATATATAGATAGATAGATAGATATATTCATTGATGCACGTTTCATTAAATGATATAGACAAGTTTTATCTATTTATTTTAAATAAGTTCCTTTCATATTGTCTGATAAGCTTAATAACATTATCATTGAAAGACGAAAGAAAATCTCCATATTGATACATGTTTAAATCCTATCTAAGCTTTCAGCTTACATAAGCCATTATCAAAGATGACAATTACATTTCAATATATCAAACAATACACGGACGAAACAATAATGATAGTCTGTTTTTGCTGGCTGAAATATTTCAAAGCAACGACAAACTTGGGTATACCAGACGTGGAAGCGAAAATCGCATCGCAGCTCGTGACATCACATATGACCACGCGAGAGTGAAAACGAGAAGTATTAAGTATGGGAAGCTGTTGTATTATTTAATGAAACATGCATCAATGAAAAATTGCTACCTAAATGTACACAATATATATATATATATATATATTCAGTTGTATGGATATGAGTTTGTGAGCCTGCGATTCACAGACAAACTCGACAAAGAGTTTGTCTGATGATCGGAAAACGTTCAACCCAGGGCCACAAATTCATATCCATACAACTGAATATGTTAGGTCTATCACTGATATTGAGCGCTTTCCAATAAGTACCGTGTTATAAAATAAAATAAATATAATATATATATATGTGTGTGTGTGTGTGTATGGTGTTTGTGTATGTATGTATGTATGTATATATATATATATATATATATATATATATATATATATATATATATGTATCGAATAAAAGTTAAACGAAATGATTTTAGCAAATATTCTCATTACATTTGCGCGCCACAGTACATTGCACTTAGTTTACAAATATTAGCTGGTTAAGCAGTAAACATTTCTGCTTAATTAAAGTTGTTATCTGTTACTATCCGTCTGTTTCCATACAATGTTACACTTTAAAGATTTTGCAAACTCAATTTTGTCACATCTATGTGTTTTGGCATTCATTGTTGTAATTTCTATGGATAATTGAAATGATAAAAGCTAAAGGGAACTTTGACATGATCTTTGAATGAATCACGGATACAATTTATTGATATATTTAAAATCAACTCGCTCTGGTTGGATTAGCCATATATGCTGGTTAAACAGTGGTTTAAACGTTAACGTTCTTTTAGGACACGTGTCATATAATACAGTTTCTAATTTGATATGAATAAATTATCAAGTTTCCCACTGGCTAATATTAGTCATCGGTGTGTGGCGATGACTTTATATCAACTGAAAATGCACATTAAACATATAAAGATCTATGAAGCCTCAACGTCTTCATAGTTCGGCGGGGCCAAGGTAATTTTCACATTATCTGAACTTGAGTTACTTTGATCCACTTTGTCGCTATCAGTTCTGTTCTGATATTTTCGGCTTCTGTTTACCGAAGTAGTTCGTGTAGCGAACGACATGGTCCCAACTCTTGTATAGCGGGTATTTCCTTCAGCTAATGGTTTTTTGCCACAACAGAGATTGCGGAACGTTTGCTTGAATGACTCACGGAAGTTGCGCGACATAAACGAATAGACAACGGGATTAATGCAACTGTTGAAGTAGGACAGCAAATGAAATGTCATACGCATTGGTTTCAGACTTCCATAGTGCAGAAGAGGTAAAATGTTAAATCCAACCAGCACATTGTTGATGAGAATTGGAGCCCAGCAAAGAACAAATAAGAAGACAACAACCACCAGCATTTTCACAACCTGCATAAAATATCAAATAAAACATAATCATAGATTAGGAATTATTGAAAGCACGGAATAGAGAAAATCAAGTATAAATTATTTAAAAAACATTCCGTTATTTTGGACTCTGTTGACTAATTGATAACTCACAGATTCTTTCTTCCTTACATTCATTTCGTCTTGTTTCCCCAAATCATCATCAGTTTATATTCTTTTTTTAAATTTACAAATTGCTTCAAAACGAAATGAATGAAAGCTGAAGTATAATTAACAAGAATGACACCTCGTATAACTAAACTCTTCTCACTTTCACAACGTACAAACTAATAACATATACTTTCGATAGCCTGCTAATGGAATACAAATCTAGTTTAGTTTTACTATTTTGAATGATGTAGTTACAGTGTTGGTTGGCTTGTTTGTTTTTTCCACTTTATGGGATATTCAAAACTTCGGTTTGTAGAAGGTTGCGTACAGTACAAAGCGGTCCTCCATCTAAATAATGACCGGGATTGGCGCTGCTTAACTTAGGTGATCAAAAGAGAACCATTGTTTTTAGCATGATTTGACCATAAGTTTCAGACCGAAGAAAATACTCAAATCTCATATTCTGTATTAAAGGATATTGACTTGCCTGCATTTTAGTTTTATCATCTTCAACTGATTTCTTTTTCGTTTTAGTTTGTGAACTGGATTTTCTGTTTCCTTTAAACACACCTTTTCTTGTTTGATCCATCTTTTCGCTTGGAGGGGTTGTTTCTGAAAGACTTTAAGAACGAAAGAAAAAGTAAAGATTGCACATTTTATAAATTGTTTTGCATGATGAAAACCAATCAAACTTCCTCAATATATAAATGCATATATCTAATATTACAAAACCTGTAAAATAACTAAATATATATCAATTTAGCTGATTGTCTGACCTCGTAATTTATAAATCTGCAACATAAAATAAATGTAGTTTTGTTGAGAACTATCCATATACCAATTCAAACGTCGATTTTAAAGTGTGAATCAAGCGTATATGCGACAAGGGACAAAACTTGCTCATCTCTCTTAGCACTTGCCGATGGCGTCAGATATTGAACTTGGCCTTCCTTTGAATGGGAAAGGAACTGCTTGGATGATAGTCATTTGAAGTACATTTAAAAAGCGGTTTCATAATTTAAATACACCAGCATGGGTTTATATATTGTTCAAATTAGCGCTTCTTCCTTAACTAATCTGTGTATTCAGCTGTGTTCTGTTAATTAATTTTCAATCTAGTATTTCGTGATCTTTAGAGAATAGCAATTATTTTGTTGATTACTTTTATAATTAAATTGCTTAGTTATAAAAAAATCATTGCTACTCTAAAATAGTAATAGTAAGCAATATTGATATCTTAAATAGTGTATTTTTTAAAATGTAACGAATATAAATTAGAATATTATAAAATGGCGTATATGAAATACTACCAAAATATTTAAACATATCGAACTGCTTTAATTACAATTTAGATAGGACCATTTTACGGTAGACACGCAGAATCCACAAAGGAAGGAATGCAGTGGAGCAGGGGAAAGGGACTTTTCTTGTGCAAAGTTGAATTGCATTACTAGTAAATTTATAAATGTTAAAAAAAATACAAATAAAATTATGACTGTTTTCTATAATAATATGTAATTTTAGGTGACATTTTATCGATAATAATCGATTTTTTTTATAAGTACACAAAAATATTCTAAAGGAAAATGAAATTGCAACGCCCTGAAAGATGTACTGTAGTCAATGAAAATCGGATACAGTGCATACATACAAGTGGGTTGTATATAATATAAAAAATACATTAACTGCTTCGGTTCTCTTGTGTCGTAGGAGAACTCATCCCAGTGCACCTTCTGTGCCTGCTCTTTAGATGATGACACATGCTGCGATAAGGTTCAATGTGAGATGCGAAATGGGAGACGCATGCATACTACTTAGTGCTATTAGATAGTAGCTATATTGTGGAACTTTGAGAGATGATGGCCATTTCTGAGAATTACTGCACGTGTTGGACATAATGAATCGGTGGTGCTTCAATATTGACAACAATGGTCACAAGTGATCTCCTTACAATTTCGCTGACTGTTGACCACGCAAAATAGACTTAGCCTTATGGGGAAATGATTAATATCCCTCAGCTGGGTGGGGAATACATACATACATACATACATATATATATATATATATATATATATATATATATATATATATATATATATATATATCAGGTCATCCCATAAGTTCTGTACAATTTTTACTTTTGTTAAAATGAACGAAATTTAAAGAGTATTTTATAATGTCTAATGGAGCTGAACATTATTTTTTTATGTTTAGATGCATTTAAACTGATCAAATTTTATTTCAGAGAACAATAAAATTAACTTTTGTTTGATTAAAACCCTGCTAACATGGAAGTACCCAAGAATCATTTGAGGAACATAATCCTTTATGAGTTCAGGAAAGGAAACTCAGCAGCCGAAGCGGCTAGAAACATTCATTCAGTTTATGGAGAGGAATGTGTGAATGAAAGAACTTGCAGAAGATGGTTTGCAAAATTCCTCAACTTTTCTTTCTTCAATGTTCATGGTATTCGTTCCAACTTTTGCAGTATTGAAACTTTTTTCTTCGAACAGTCACCAGATGTCTTTGCACTTTGTGAACACAATTTAAATTCCCTGTTCCAGGCTATCTTCCTCTTTTCCGAAAAGATTCCAGTATTCACATGCATAGCCATAGTATTTACATCTGAGATAATCTTCCAGTGGCAAGGGAATTGTCATTCGAGTCCCTAGACAACTCTTTCATGTTCTTTCGACTTTCATTATTACCCTCCGTTAGCCGTCTCTTCTTCCTTCATCGCTCCTCCATTTTCAGGATTGCAGTATGCTCGAATTAATCTCTGATAGTATAGAAACAGCACTCTCTTTTCATTCATCTGCGAACATCTTTGTGTTGGGAGATTTTAATGCGCTTCACATGGATTAAACATTTTAATGTTACTTATGTTACGTGTATCCAAACTTTAAATTTTTTCCATTTCTCAATTCCTTACTCAAATCGGTGATTTCCCTACTCCTTTCCCTAGCAAATCTGAGCTTTATTAGATTCATTTCTTACCTCCTTTCCAAACTCTTGCCGAGAATTACAAAACTCTCCTCTTGGCAAATGCTCGCTGCCTCTTGCTTTCCTGCCTGTTGGAAATCCTCATCTGTTGTTTCAGTTTTTAAGAACTCAGGTGAATCATCCAACCGTTCTAAATATAGGCTTATTAGCTTTCTGCCTCTTTTGGGGAAACTACTAGAGGCCCTAATAAATACTGAATTGGTTAAGCATCTTACATCGCTGGGCCTTCTTTCAGACAAGCAACATGGCTTTCATTTCTCCAGGTCAACTGCTGATGATAATTGCGGAAAGAATCTATCCAGCACAAGATAAGAATGGTGAAGCTCGAGCAGTTGCTTTGGATAGCTCGAACGCTTTCGATAGCGTTTGGCATACAGGTCTTCTCCACAAGGTGAAAAGTCTCCGTTTAAATATCTGGACTGATTCAGTCTTTCTTATCAAATCGTGAAATAAAAGTTATACTGAACGGCCATTCTTCTAGGATCTTTTGTACTAATGCAAGTCTCCACCAGGGCTCTATCCTTGGTCCTACATTATTTTTAATTTTCATTAAGAATATTCCCGATGGCATCAGCTCTCAACTTGGTATCTATGCTGATGACACAACTATTTACTCTTGTCTCGATAGTAAGTCAGTTCGATAAGGTCAAATTGGCTGCTGAAGTCAAAAACGACCTATAGTCTGTATTTAAATGGAGGAAAAGATGGCGTGTCTATTATTGGTCCTGATCTGGTATCTCGGTTTCATTCACTTTCCCAGCTCCGTAAAGTTGTTTCCATGTGACTTTCTATAAGTACTTATTCGGATGAGCTGTTCGCTATGGTATCTAGACTTTATGAATTTAAGCGCAGTACTAGAGTGGCAGGAAGGTCTCATGAATTTACAGTTGAATTGGCTAGATAACTGTAAGTTCTACGTTTCTTTTCTTGCACTCCTCGCTTGTGGAACTCTCTTCCGGCTCTATGCTTTCCAGTTAACTTTGAACTTCAAAAATTTAAATGCAATGTCAGTCGCTATTTACTATCCTACTGAATACTCTTCCTTCATTTCTTACGGCGGTGGGAAAGTGACTGAAGCCGGGACAACAGGTCAGGGTCAATAATATTGCTAATTCTTGAATTTTATCAAGAATCTTTAAATATATAGCAAGAGCACCGGACCATATGTGGCACCAATATTATAAGCATGGACAAATGGTAGATTTATAGATATGTAAGATAGCTTCTGTAGAGAAAAAAATTTCTAGGCCAACACAGTGAACCAACTTTCTTAACAGCTGATTTAGTATAGTCTTTCAACTTCATGTCAGAAGAGAAGGTGCAACGAATCACTCTCCTGGATGGAAGGCAGAAAAGGATCTCTCAGATGATTAATAGAGAGCAGTTTTGGTTTTAGAGGTGTTAAAATGAACAGGCTATTCTTTACCCCAATTAATAACAGATTGTAGGTCGTTATTGACATCAGCCACCAATTTGATCTTATCGAACTGATCATACTTACTGTCGAGACAGGAAAGTTTTTTTTTTTATCTCCATTGGATTGAACCATTTCCTTGATTTCCGAACAAACCGGGACATAAATTGTAGTGTCTTATCACTCTTTATTTATGATATATATATATATATATATATATATATATATATATATATATATATTTAAAAATATATACATTTAATATTTTTTAATAAAAGAAATGTTATTAATACTGTGTTGTTTGATTTTTTTATGGTCAAGGCTTCTAATATTTGTAGTCATTTTTATGGTATAGAATTTTTAATTTCATGTTACGTTTTTTATTGCGATGGTTGCAGATATGCAATTAAATGAAGCTAAATTATCGGTTAAATGGTAAGTTAAACGGCAAGATAATGTCGTTATTGTGTAATCAATGTATGTGTTGCTTGAATTTTTATTATTTGATTAAAAATCGTTTAATTTTTTCGTGTAAACATAAGTATTTTTCTTTATTGACGATAATTTTCTATTTTCTTTCAATTAAAATCAAACTTAGATCTCCAGAGAAGATATTTAAATTATTGTAATACTTTAAAAAACTTATTTAAATGTCCGTGCGCATGCCTCCCATATATATATATATATATATATATATATATATATATATATATATATATATATATATATATATATATATATATATATATATATATATATACGTATGTATGCGTATGAGAATATATACGATTGTTGTCAAGTTCATTAATTGAAACGTAATTATTAGCTGAATTTTAGTCCGAAATTTTCACGATATAGCATATAATCTATGTCAGTATTATTTTTACATGAAATAAAATTACTGATAATGAAGGATTGAAAATTAAATATTTGTTGCATAGAATAAATGTGTTTTCGTTTTCTTTTTTCTCCAACGGTGTTACTAATATAAAAAAACGTTCTCCTCAACAATATGTATAACGCAAAATGCAGCCGTTTAAAAACAATTCTGTGTATGGATTTGGAATTTGACTTAGACTAAAACACCAGCAGAAAAAATCATTTTTGTCTAGTGTCATCACTAATTTTTATATTTCTAGTTCCTGTACTTTTGAGTAACGTTTTCCTACATGATTGAAGTGACTCTGAAATGATTGATGAACTGAAGAAACGTACGAAACTGAAATGCATATATACGGTCACAATAACTCCATTAGCATTTCAGTCGCTAAATAAAGTCTGGAATCTTCTTTTCTGTTGGTGAGAACGCTAAGCCTTCTAACGATTCAAAATGATTTGAGATTAAAAAAAAATATCCAAGAATGGAGATTATTGTTTTTAAAAAGAAGCAACAAATAATTTAAAATATATCAATGCACTCTTTCTCTTAAGCAACCAGACAGAACTCACTTTTATGATTTTATTAATAGAAGTTATCTATGAATTGATGCAGTCAAACATTAAATAAAATCAGGACATAATTTAATATAAACATCAACATGCAAGTTATTGTTTTACCTGCCGCTTCTCATATCTGCTCTTCTGGCCGTGACTGTAATCATTTCCCAACAGATTCCTGTGTATGCAACGATCATTACGCCGGTCGGAATGATAAGCATAATAATGAGCATGTACAATTCGTACAGTTCCTTGTAAATTGGATCGGACCATTCTTTGATACAAGTATAACCTTTCTGAAGAACGCCACCTTCAACCAATTTCTGAAAAATTAAGACAGTCAGAATACGAAATACATAACAAATTGAATCTGTATGAAAGATTATGTTTATTCATTTATGTGTAAATGTATACATGTAAGGAACCAATGAGTTGATAATACCCAATAGAACCCTTAACCTGCAGGACTTACATCTACTGCAAAACTACAGGCTCGAACACGTCAGTTCAGCCAAGAACAGGGCATTCTCATCTGTGAGAGGACATTCATATAACAAAAATTCAAATAAAATTGTCCGAGGTTTTGAAGAATTTAAATACGATAGAAACTTCTTGCAGGTAATCTGAGAAAAACCTACATGTTGAAAAGCAGAATTATTTGTATTGCTGACAAATTATTTTTTCAAAAATACCTAAGCATCTTTCAACATTCTTATCTTTTTGTTTCAGTGACGAAGTTCGTTTTAGCAATTTAGTAATTTTGCGCTAAATTTTTATTCTCTTGAACAATCTATATAAAATGTTCATAGAAAAAAATAACAGAATTGATGATAGTAAAAATGATAACCGAAAGCGAAAATAAAATGTTTAAGCGTAAAGAAGATTCAACAATAATGTCAATTCAGCTGAATAAAGATATAAAAAGTTAACGAATTAATTAATTTTTAAAAGAATGAATTAAAACTGGAGATACCTTGTGATTGTGATCAGTCAGAAGACGCAAATAAATCCTTTCATGTAGTTTTATCAGACAAATCATAAGATACAGCATTATCAAACACAATTTGTATATGGCTTTTTAAAAATTCAATCGAAACAAGTTGTATATTATCTTTCAAAAAGAGTAAATTATGTATTATAATGTTTATATCTTATTCACTCTATTTTCCAGCCATTAAACACCACGCAAAAATTAATTCTTTTGCCACCAGCAAAAAAGAAGAAAATCTAAATATATGTCGGTAGCTTGCTTCCTCCCATTTCATGAATTAGGCATGTTTCCAATTTCTTCAATAAGGGACAATATTAACTAGTAGCTTGTTAGCTAATTAAGCATATCTTCATGTCTGAATCTTTATTTCACTAATAATAGGTTGTGGTAAATAAGATGATGATTTATTATTCTCCTGTTATACATCTAATAATATATAACCAAGTAGAGGCGAGCTTCTTATTTGGAGATAATAACCAAGCAAAGTCGTTCCTGAAGACTTCCTGGAAGAGAGCAACACACACACACACACACACACAAACACACACACACACACACACACACACACACATATATATATATATATATATATATATATATATATATGTACGTATGTATTATATGATTGTGTGTGTGGGCGCGCACGCACACAGGTGTGGTATTTATTAAGCTTAGCTTAGTCTGAAGTAAAAAGATTGTATTTGCTAATCTTTCAATTTAGGAAAACTTCAGTCCTTCAAAATCTTGATTTTAACTTAGCTCACACATTGGTGCTAATGCATAACTATGCAAAAATATTTCAGCCACGAGACCCACCAATTACTGTATGTGAGAATATTCCGTTTATATGCATAGGCAGTGAAAAGATTGGATAAAATTCTGAGTCATTATTATGCCACAAATTTTTCTAACTCATATATTTATTCTTTTGGCTTTGTCCAAATTATACATACATTATGACTGACTACTCGTTTTCGGACCACACCAGTTTTCTATGGCAGTTAGCCAATTCCTGTTGCAGACGTTTTGTCGGGCAAATTTGTGTTTGCTCAAATACCCATAAAGGCCACCTGTGTTTTATACTATAGCTATGCTGAGCGGAAATTAGTTACAGTTTCTGGGAGATGGCGCATGAGCAGTAATTTGAACACCACCACAGTGACTTGTGACTTCATGCTAGCACAAACATCAATATTTTCCAAACAGTTTCGTTTACCCAATTTCACTCACAACACTTGAGTCAACCTGCAGTATGTTTCTGAAAGATGCTGCACACTATGATCACCTCCTCAGACTGATAAAATTAAGGTCACCTTCTTGGCAAATCGACCATGGTGAATTTCGAACCTGGGTCACATAGTTGGAAAGTGAACATTCTAACATTTACATACACAGTGCGATGGGTAAATTATCGCCATCTTATATATTTAATGCGCGTTGTTGCGCATTTATATATTTAATGCGCATTGTTTGTTTTTGATTTTATCTACTGTACAGTATAGTAGGTCAATTGGGCAAAAGAACACCATGACGCAATTCACTCCGCCAAAAATCTGGAAATGGTGTGCTGTACTACTTGGCATTCGCGCCGGAAGCTCCAACATTTCAGAGTGTTTAGGTGCCAATCTGAGGACAGTGCAGAGGATTCGGAAAGAGTTGGATGAGTCTAATGTTGATTACGGAGTTGTTTGGAGTGATCACTAGTGATGATGACATTATGCCTCCATTCATCTTCCCACAGGGCCTTAGACTCGACACAGAGGCCTACATCAAGTGCCTTGAGGAAGTAGTTCTGCCCTAGTTCAAGAGGGTCGCTTCTAGAAGGCCTTATGTCTAGCAACATGCCACACAAGCAGGAGAACCCATTTATGGCTGCTAGACAATTTCTGTGACTACATCACCCCTTGATTATTATGGAGCGTAGTCGAGCGAGAGACCAACAAATTCCTTGTAATATCAAACTGAAGGAAAGGATTATGGCAGCATTCACCAACTTAAACAGGGAGCCCGTTCATAAGAGTTGCAGGAGATTCCGAATTTTTCTGGAGGCGGTGGTTGAATCCAATGGTGATTTTATTGAATAAATTAACTCTTTAGCATTTCAAAATATTTTTGTGTAATTTTGGTAAATGTATCTGTTAAAACTTATTCAACTTATTTTCATTTTTGTCTAGTTTAGACGACAATTTATCCATCGCACCCTGCACATGCATAGATGTATGTGTATACGTGTGTGCGTGCGTTTTTGTTTGTGTGTATACACGAGACTCAGGATAATGAGTAAAAAAATCTGCATCTTCACTAAAACATTTCCCTCCACGTATCCATGTCTTCTTTTTTTCACAATGAAGGGCGTTTGGTACAGTACTTTTAAGATTGTGACTTTAAAAGATAATCTTTTGCAAATGCAAGTAGCAGACGCTTTGATGAGATGTTTTCTCGTGATTCAGATTTAATCTTTTCGGAATTATTTGACATTTTATATTTGATTATTTCCTCTGTATTTTAATAAGACACAATTTAATATTTCTCCAGGCGTTTAAATATCTGACGGCTTTAATGTTTTATAGCAGGGGTGTCCAAACATTTTTTAAATAGGGCCAGATTTGATGAGGTAAATATGCATGAGAACCAATCATTCTGCTTGACATTCTTTGAACTATTAAAATTAAATGCAAATTAACTTTCTTATGAAAATTTTATTACAAATGGTATATTTTCATTTCTTCACGTGGATGACAAATAAATTTAACAGGTCTTATCAAAATCACTCAGCCTGTCATATCTGAATCAAAATATGTCTGAGAAATATCTCTATCCAGTGAACTTGGAACTGCTGCGAAATTTGAGCCTTAAACTCAACCTGCGTTTTGATTAATGCTGCTACTGCTGCTGTCTACCATATTTTGACTGCTGCTGTTGAAGAATTATCTTTCTTTCTTTCTTATCCGCTCTCATGTTGTATTTATTTCTATGCTAGGCCTACTAAGGAGATCATCATAGCCTCGCAGATGCGCAGATTCGTTTAGACATCTACCTCACCAGTGTTCTTCCTTGCTTAGTATTTTCACTTCATTCCATGATGACTACTTCTTTTCCTCCATACATGATCAATCATAACCGCCGCTTACATTGTTTCACACCTCACTACGGCTTTTCGTTGTTCATCCAGCCTTACTTTCAGAAGGATGCTTGTTTCACCTTTATATTCCCTGCCACAAATGCAAGGAATTGAGTACACGCAACTCTTAGTCATGTTGTTCCTCGTGTTAGGCTTTACTCTGCGGAGATTTCTCCGTAGAGTTGAACTGCTTCTGAATATTGTCCTAACTGCAGATCTGAATCTTTTCCAGTAAGCCCTTGACTTAAGGTAGACAGACCGTGGTAATTTTCTGGTCATCCTTCTAGACCCTTCTGTTTCCACTTACAGACGCTGATGCTGTGAACAAACCATCTTTCCAGCATCTTTAATTATAGATCGTATGTACGAGCCCCATGAGGTCTGGGTTGAGTAAATCTCAATAGGCGCTCAAAGCCTGAGGCCTCCCCGAGGGGACATCCATTCCTCGTGATTGTTGATAGATCAGGGTCCGATCGGCGATGATGGAGTGTAACTAGTTTGGTTTTCGAGGTAATGTAACTAGCCAGTTTTTCCACGACTAATATTTTAGAGCTTAGGCCAGAGGAGTGATCAATCTCTGGTCGTCTAGAGTTGAAAAGAAATACGTATAAACCAGTAAGTAAAAAATCACCTACCCACCTCCATCTTTCTTTCTCCAATATTCATGGCATTCGTTCCAATTTCTGTAGTTTATATTTTTCCACCAGATATCTTTGCATTTAGTGTAATTAATTTAAATTCTATCGCTACCAATGAATTCTCTATTCCAGGCTATCTTCCTCTTTGTCGAAAAGATTCTAGGATACATATGCATGGCTTTGATGTTTATATTCGGGAAAATCTCCCAATTGCAGTCATAAGATGATTTTTATGTGGTTTTAACTTGCGTTATTTCACTCTGTTAGCTATCTTTCTTTTATCGCTCTCCTTCCCAGGACTGTAAAATATTAAACAAAATTTCTAGCAATATAGAAATGGCTTTCTCTCTACATTAATCTGGGCACCTCGACGTGGTGTAATGGTTATAAAGCTTGTCTTGATAGAACAATTGCCACTGAGTAGTGAGTTCGATCCCTACTGGGTGCCCCATACTTTCGGCTTTGTGCCACATCTAAGCTGTGCTTAGAAAATCACTACTTGCTGATCAATTTGGATCAGTTCAAGGCATTCGATAGGGTTGACCATCGGTATCTGGCTGCTGACCTGCAGGCCGCCGGATTCGAACCCGACTTCTGCAAGTGGATTAGCCTCCTGTATCGTTCCCCCAGTGCTGTGGTACAGGTGAACGGAAGGCGGTCGCGCGCTTTTGCGCTGTCTCGGTCGGTACGTCAGGGTTGCCCACTGTCGCCTCTACTTTATGCTTTGGCGTTGGAGCTTCTCCTTCGCCGGCTGAGGGACGGGGTGTGCAGTCCGGCCCTACGTGGAATCGCTGTCCCTGGTGGAGCACGAGCCAGGATTTCCGCGTACGCCGATGACGTATCCATTTTCGTGTCGTGCCGCAGCGACATTGAGGTGGTACAGAAGGCGCTTGAACGGTACGAAAAGGTCACAGGGGCCAAAATTAACCGTATCAAGTCTTCCGGCTTGCGGTTGGGTGCCTGGAAGAGGGTCTCTCTTCCGGGACGCTTCAGTTGGACGGACGGTCCTGTCCGCATTCTCGGAGTGTGGTTTGGACCCGACCTCCAGCTGGAGAAAAATTGGTCAGAAGTACAAGCAAAGGTCGGAGCGTCGGTCCGGACTTGGCTCCGAAGGAGGTTGTCCTTGAAGAGTAGAGCTGAATCCTTTACCGCTTGGCTGTACTTTTTCTTTGCAATGACCATAGGAAGGCGATCGAGCGCTTGTTGTCCACCCTCTTGGGTGTGCGAAAGCAGAAGGTCCGTAAAGAAGCTTCTGTCCAACGTCTGTGTCATGTGAGTCTGGGATTGCCGCACTTGGTGAGTCATCGACATGCCTCGAGGTTGGCTTTCCTACGCCGCGTTTTGACTGGGGATTCGATTTTGGTGGGGAGAGTTAGGGACGCTTTCCCTAGCCTTACTATCACTCCTCCCATTTCCTGGGCTAAGCGCCGTCGTAGGTACGGGAAATTGTCGACTTTCCTCAACGAGTGTCGAGTGGCCTTGAGGGTTTTTCCTCGGTCCAGTGACCTTTCACGACCTCGAAAGTTTTTGTATCGTAAATTAGTGGAAGGGGTCGCGAAGGACCATCTCTGTGAGCGGCTCGGTTGTCGTTGGACGAGTTTTGCTCTTTCTGGTCTTGGGTGCCAGCGGCGAATTACCTCAGAAACATTAAGTTTTCGCTTACCTGGCGACTGATCCGAAACGTGCTATCTCTCAATGAAAGGTTCTTCAGATGGGGCTGGGCGGATTTTCCCGACTGTTACCGGTGTGACCTTGGTTTAGAAGAAACGGCTTTGCACGCCTTCTACCATTGTCCTCAGGTACGCCCTTTCTGGGACTATGTGGGCGAGCTGACGGCTCGTATCGCTCCCGATCAGCTTGTGCTTATCGATCTCGCATATTCTGGGGTGAAACGAATTGTGTTTCTAACATTGCTAGTCGAATGATGATCTGGATGACGCGAAAGGAGGGGATCTTGAGACAAGAACGCTATTCTCATCAGATTCTGATCAGATACTATCAGCATCAGCTGAAAGTGAAGATCAGAACTGATAGAAAGTGTTTGGTGTCGACAGATTTCAATGAAAGGTGGGTAAAAGTAGCGAGGTTGATTCATGTGAAAGGGGCTATACTTGAGTTCCTTTTTTAAAGTCATCTTTCGTCAAAACGAGGCGGTTTCCTTACGACCATTTTTTGTGTACCTAGTTAATGTGAGTGAGTGTCGTTCCTGGCCTCTTCCTGGGTCATAACTTCTGTTATGAGCCAAGTTGAGATTCCCAACCTCCCCAGTTTGTTTTTGGTCCCCTTTTTCATCTCGACTGGTTCAGTCTTTAATTTCCCCACGCCCTGCATTTATTTTTCTCTTCCCCCATGCCGTTAGAGAGTTAGCCTCTTGATTCTATCTGATGACAGAATACAGCGGCAACTCTGATTTTTTGTAGGGTGGACGGGTCCTACTAACATCATTATTTTCTGTTAGTTTCTGTTTTATATTTTGTTTGTATTGGGATTCAGAACCCTCCACCTAATTTTATACCATCTTCAGATTTTTATATATATACATATATATATCTATATACTTTATGAACATTTGTACATAAGAAATTTTTACATTTTTGATACCCCAAGTTATTGGTAATAATTAGGTCTGGTCTTTTGAACCTTTTATGATGAATGATAAAATTTAAGATGTTTATTGCAATCATCAAGTGATCTGTACCAGTGAATTATTTTTTAATGGCTGTTTCATCTTGTTTAGAGTTCATTTGCTTACTATAGAATAAGTTAATGATGTTTTGATTTTTGTTTATTTCACGATGGAGGTTTCTGCTATTTTTTTAAGCTCTTTAAAGTTAATTTTATTTGTTCGTCGACGGTATTATTGGTGAAATTATTGTTGATAAATTTTGTTGATTTATTTTATGTTCTTCAATTCTTTATAAAATAATGTGTAAGAAGAAGAAATTAATTTTCTCGGTTAATCATTTTTTTTATAACAGTTATTTTATATCTGTAAAGACATTCATTTTTGTAATTAAGAAGCTTGCGAGGTTTTGACTATTATCATTTTGACTATTATCATTTTGACTATTATCATTTTGACTATTATCATTTTGACTATTATCATCTACTAAAACGTCAGGGAAAGGATTCTATTATTAATTTTAAGTTCATAAGTAAAGTGTAGAATAATATTTTTCTTGTGAATATGTTATCGGTGCATCGAATATAAATCATATGACTATCAGAATTAATAAATATTTTGTTTTTTGCATGCGTCTTGAAGACATTAAGTAATGTAGGACCGAGAGATGAACGTATATCTACATCATCAGGCTGTATGTAAATGATATCGTGATAATAATAACAGACTATTTATATGTAGAATTGTTGATCTTATATCAGAAGGTAGGAGCAAATAATGCATATGTGTGTGGGGTGTGAGAGGTAATATAATTACAGTCTAATTGATTGAAATTTAGCACATTTATACATCAACCTTTGGAATATTTTAATGAAATTAAATCTATTCAATATAAAAAAAAACTATACTTAATAAGATTCCATATTGATATTAAATTTTTGACTTCATATTGAAAGAATTCAAAATTAAAAGTAAATGAGAATTTTTTAACCAACCTGTCCAAAAAGTATTGGTACAGCCAGAATGAAAGACAGTGACCAAACACTAAATATGACGACTTTGGCATGCACCAATGTGCAAAGGTATTTAGCCTTTAACGGGTATCTTATTGCCACGTATCTACAAGAGAAAAGAAAATAAATATTTACAGTCACAAGTGAATGAAAAAAAAATCAAGCTATCATTATATAATAATGACTATTTTGAGAAAGACAAGGTTGAAGAATCTGTTCGTGACGCAGGATAAGTGATAAGTTTGTTTAGAAGGATTTCAAATTTTGTGAAAGGATTTTATTTGAACCAGGTATTATAAAATACCACATATCCTTAGCGTACACACAGAGAGACGGATAGGAGATAGAGAGAGGCAGGCAGATAGACAGACAGACAGGAAGATAACCTCAGTTCATATCAAGTTTTACGTTAACAATATGGAATAAATCCATGATATAAGTATTAAACAAGCAATTTTCATGTTCATGTACGATTGTGATGCATGATACTGAACTTTATTTTCATAGAATATAATCAATCTTTTCATTTTAATACCAGTGAATTACAGATAAAAGAAAATATTTTTTCAAGATATTTGGATTTATTTTGTAATTTTAAAAAATATCTTCGCGGTTTACAGAAAGCTTTTTCTTAATAGAATCTATGCTTGAGATTTCTTCGAATTTTAAGCAATTATCTAAAATAAATAATTGCTTATATTTTTAAAATAATGTTTATTTCACCTTTTCAATTAACACCACGTTGTTTTCTTAAAAGTGTTATTATAATGACCCTTCCTAACAAATGTGTCCTTGTAACCGCGACTAACATTATTAAAAAGTGTCATAATTAGGATTTTTTCTAAAAGTTACTTATTCATTCATACACAAAACGTCAATGAATAGATATATTGGTTGATACAAATTCTATAAACTTAATATTTTCGTGTTAAATACTATTGTATGAGGAGAAAATATATTCATTTTGGAAGAATTTAAATCGATCTTAATGAAGACTAAGAAATATGCATATAATTAAATATATACATAGTAACATTTTGGAAAAGAAAATGTTATACAAATATATCTTTTTTCAAAAGTATAGCTCCTACCTGCAAAGTAAAAGGTGTAAAAGAAAGAAAGAAAGAAAGAAAGAAAGAAAGAAAGAAAGAAAGAATATGCAGACTTGCTAATTGATGGTCACTATAATACGGAAATATTATTATCAGTATAGGGACATATTAACGTAATAAAAATAATGAAATGTTTCAGAAAACAATATCACAACTTGCATTTAATATTATATCACTTTTAAAGGCATTGCCCATTTCAATATTATGATTTTAAAATTATCAGATCTATCACCAAATTAATTCTGGTCTTTGTATTTCAAATATAGGACCCCAGAAAAATCGCTTACTAACTCATGGATTTTGAGCTATCTTCAAAGTGTTCAATTTCCTATATTTTCTATGTCCCTGTTTGCTATTTTTTATTCAAAATGATGGGTAACTAAAATAAATTTCAGTTTATCTGTTGTACAATAAGTTTACAAAATTAAATTTTGAATAAAGTTTAATGCGCGTGGAAATTTTTTTTACAACATTTATACTTTGTTTTGCAATATGTGTACTTTTTTTAGCAAGGGTTTTTCTTGCCTACAAGTTTAAAATTTACTCCAGATATTTTTGTTGTAATTGTCAACAATGAATATAAACTTTATGATATATATCATGCAAAAATGCTAAAAAGATAATTTTCCAACGGAGTATTAGGATCTCTTATATTAATAAAACAAACCTAACACTTTGTATGTGTTTTGGTTAATTTAAAAGATGATCAATTTTGATCATCTTTAATCAAATATTAACTTTAGAAAGACATGAGAATTAAGCATTCTTGTTCAGTTCAGAAATTCGTTAAAAAGTAACATATGGTCAGTCTTTGCACAATACACTCCTTGTTTACGAATTCTACGATTGCCATATTCTACTTATACACGTCAAGACAAATAAGACTAACATGAATCATATATATGTCGATGTACCAAAGAGCCATTCATATTTCCTTAAAACACAGCAAGTAGTGAAATGATATAAAAGACGCGTTATTCTTTGCGAACATCTATGCTTATTTTGTTCTCTAGAAAAATTATCTACAAATTCACACTTCTCCATCTGTCTGCTTGTCTGTATCTCCCTTTCTTTCTCACTTCCTCTTCTATATATGAGTGTTCATTCATATATGTTAGAATTATTCATTTTTCTAGCCACATTTAAAGTTCTTCAACACTGAATATATCACGTGTTCCAATCCAAAATCTGTAAACGAAATTTCTTATAAATGTTCTCATTGAGATGGAGTTTGTTCGGAACAGAAATTTTCCCTTTTACGTTTTCCATGATATATCGCTCGCTTAAAAGCTTGTTACGGAATATTATGATTCTTTCATGTTGCTGTTTGCTTTCTTAGGATTTAAACTTCTGTTAACTTTAGTTTAACGTTTAATTATCCGGTGTATTTCTCACTGAATATTATCTAAAAGAAATCAGGATTCATTATGTTAGTTTCGTTAACGTCTAGCTACTTTTTTGTCTACTTAGACGCATTTTATATATCTTATCATTGGTTATTTCCATTGTCTCGACGTTTCATAAATAAATCCTTGTCTTTTCTTGCTTGCTAAACAGAAATTTCCTTCCGAGTAACACCGTGGATATGCCTGCCATTTTAGACGAAGAGAATGTATAAGACTGATAATTGTATTCCACTTTTCGATATGACTACCACGAATTTTATATACCCGTTTGAGAATCAAGACACCATTTAATCTAAGCATTTAATTAATTCATGCTCTCAAGTTATATTAGTCATGCTATATTTTCAGTTCCAGTGCAAAGCGAAAATGTTGATCACTTTATTTTTATACCTTCGATTATCTGAATTAGTTTTATAGCACAGGATAAGAAAAATCTGGAAATTATTACAATTCTCTTTTTTTTTTCGGAAATATACGAGAATATAATCTTCAGTGTTCTATGGAAATGAAATTAATTTGCGATAATATTATTTTGGTTTCAGTTTACATGTGAAGATTTTTAAACTGGTACCCGGATTAAATTATTATATATCGATATTTCTAAAGTGTATATAAATCAGTTGATTTCTTTAAATAAATGAAAGTATTTTTTAATCCTATATATCAATTCATCGTTTTAAAAGGTTTTGTTAAAGATATTCTGAACAATAATATTTTGCTCTAAAGATTTTAGTCTAACTCCATTAACGATTATATATGTGCGAAAGTCCCAGTTTTTTTTTCTGGAAGCTTAGCATATACCTAATAAATACCTGATATACGCACATGCATAATTAATATCTGATATGCGCATATACTTAATAAATACCTGATATGCGCACATATCTAATAAATACCTGATATGCGAACATACCTAATAAATACCTGATATATTGAAATACATGCAAACAATTTCAATCTTTACTACTGATTTGTGTTCATGACATATTCGGTGCGCTACGAAGAACAGGCAAGATTGAATAGTGCCTTTAAGCTGATCAAGCTGGTAGTCGAAAATAAATAAATATACTATTTAATAAATAAAAAGAACGTGTACTCAAACGCAAGTATCTACTAAAAATAACGTTTAAAGTGATAAAATCTATTAGATTAATAAGTACAAAATCCATTACTTCTTTAGAAAATTGCCTTATTTACGTTTGGATACGAACTAAGCAGATATGAAAATTTTAAGAGTCGAATTTCATTTAAAGATACTTTTGAAACATATTAGGGATAGAACAGGGTTTTTTTTTCAGAATTTGGGCTGTTGGAATTGTGACAATCTAGAGAATGTCATTCACCAGTTTTGAATGCAAAATCGTTAATATCATTTTGGTAATCTTTCTCTCTCTCTCTGTATATATATATATATATATATATATATATATATATATATATATATATATATATATTGTGTTGAAGTAAATTTTTCTCACACTACTCCCTTTGTTTTGAAATCTGTGCTTCTTCTATCTGTCTCTTATGGAAACAAAAATAAATAAAGCAAACAGTTATTTCATCTCGACTTTTGCTCTTCCTCCTCCTCTTAATCCCACCTTGTCTTTTGCTTATTCTATATATTGTTCATTATATTATATAGTGAATATTATAATTATATACTGAATGCTATTATCTGATTGTTTATTAGTTTGCCTTATGTAGTTCGATAGTCTTTTTTAATTCAATACTGAGAAAATATCTGCCTTCATTTTTCTTGTCTTTCAGAGTCATCGCCGGGCTGCATACATATTATATACCTGTTTTCTAGTCTTTTATGTTCTAAATTTCACGAAATACATCTCTAGTGTCACTCAAGATAGAATGTTACACTCAAAATAGTAATGTTGAATGACGTATGCTATATAAATGGAAGAGGACATAGAAAATACAGATTGTGAAGATAAAGAAGAAAGAAGAAGATTGACTCGTGACTTGAAAAGGTCAAGAAATTTAAATTTTTAAACTGCAATCTACACATTCTATTATATCTTGAGGCTTTAGATAATATTCCTTTTTTTTCAACTTAGAAAAATATTGCATAAAACAATCACCGAAAACAAATATTTAATTGCAATATTGTATAGCCACTCAATGTGCTTCTGCATGCTCACTAGGATATTATAAAAAACGATTTTTCTATTAGTAAAAGACATTGAAATATTTTAAAGTTATTATGAATAAGGTTGTTGTTGCATAAGTCTTCTTCTTCTTCTTCTTCTTCTTCTTCTTCTTCTTCTTCTTCTTCTTATTATTATTATTATTATTATTATTATTATTATTATTATTTTTATTTTCTTTGATTTCTGGCGTTTACACATTTCTTTCCGGGTCCCGCCCAGGGACCTAAGGTTTTTATTATTATTGTTATTATCATTATTATTATTATTATTTCTACAGTGTGTTTAAAACCGTGGAAACGGAATGAGGGACTTATTTTAAAATTTGAGAATTCCATAGAAAAAGCGGGAAATAAAAAGAATTCAAAGGAAGTGAATAATTAACACTGCCAATAAAACACAACTTAAACATGTGCATTTTGCTCAGATGCTTTTTTTATATAATGCCATGAATGTTGTCGAAATCTGAGCTCGTACAACTATATAACTATATAAGTCGTTTGTTTTATGTCTATTGTACAGCATTTAAATGAATTAGAATGGTTATTATATATATATATATATATATATATATATATATATATATATATATATATATATATATATATATATATATATATATATATATATATATATATATATATATATATATATATATATATATATATATGTATATATATAGAACATATATACACACGTACATATATACACGATAATAATGATTGTCGAGTCGTTCAACGAGTCGACAATCATCATCATCGCTGACAAATTTGATCATTTTTTAGGATTCACGCACAATTATTATGAGACAGTGGGTAAGAGAACAACATGCCAATAAAGTGGCGATATTGTCCTCCAGCAGTTACTTCACTGTCATCTTTGAACGTTCTTACATAGAAATTTTAAGTTAAGACTAATATCTTGTGAAGACTTTTATGTTCACTGATGTAAATACTAAAAATATTTTTTTCCTTCTGTTTTCCAGTGGTGTATATCAACGCAAAGCAGTGTAATGACAAAATACAATTATAATATAGAAAGCGGAATCGTGACTAGTAATAAAATCTGAATCAATTATATTGCCATTTCAATTCCTGGAAATCTTTGATCTTCCATCTTTTTATTTTCACTTCCAAAAATCCAATTTTAGATCTTAAACAATATATGTAAGTATAACAATAAATCTTTACACTAATGATAAAACCTTTATTTTATACGCACAATATTTATTTCTCAATATAATTTCCTTCTTATCAGCACACTTATTCCTTTTCTATTAATCATATCGATCATACAATGAAAATGTAAATTCTGCAAATAACTTGTAGACTACTTACTTATTGATCAACTTTCGTATCATCCAGTGTTAGTGTCTCTATGAGAAAAATATGACAAAAAATAAAAAATATATAAAACTTCTAAAATTTAAATCTGATAAAAAGTACTAGCATTTGTGCTAATTAAATTCTCGGTTATGCTTACGTTCAACTACTTAAGTCTATGTCTGCTGGTAAGTACAAGAGAAAAACTCATTCTTGCAAACAATTTGGGCTTATTTTCCAGTATTTAACGAAAACGGAACCAATTAGTGAAAAATGTATATTTAATAAAATTAATAATGTGGAATGAAAACGAACCAAGTTGCTTCATACTCGAGCGCATATTCAATATTTCGAGCAAATTCTGTGTATACGATGAAATTGACTGATCATATATTTCTATTAATAAAAACAATGCAGGTCAGATTCGATACCTAAAACAAACACAAAAAATACTTACCTTTCTATACTCATCATAGTCAGTGTCATCACAGAACATATCATCGAAACATTTTGCACATAATGAACAAGTTTGCACATCACTTTACCCGTCGTCCAAGAAAAAGAGAAGAAAGCTATTCCCTGAAATAATAATATAAGAGAATTTAAATTTGCAACACACACACACACACACACACACACACACACACACACACACACACACACACACACACATATATATATATATATATATATATATATATATATATAATAACACTTATATTGTTAAATGTAACAGACAACGAATGTCTGTTATGTTTGATTATGAGCCGTTCTAAGCTTCGTTTTGTGACTTTAGATTCGGGAGGAAATAAAGACAAAATCTGTCCAACATTTGGATATTTTTTCTATTATACTTTTCCTCGATCTAAGCTTACGGCTTACATGAGCCATCATCAGAGTGGTTACATGGACATTACAATATATATATATATATATATGTGTGTGTGTGTGTGTGTGTGCGCGCGCTAACGAGAATAAAAAGAGCAGGACGATTTTAACCTGAGTAGAGTATGTACGTTCTTGAGGGTAGTTGATATTTGATAAATTTTTCACTCTTTGGTCAACTTGTGGAGTAGTAACACTCACACCAGTGCGGCATATGTGCCTGAGCATAGACAGTGACGCATGCTGGCATGAGGCGATGAAAAATTCCAGTTAAAACCTATGCCATACCACAGAAACACATGTACACCTTTTGTTCAAATATAACCGTTTTAATACTGATTAGAGAAATGGGTCTTCAGGAGTGGTAATATTGACTGATGGGAATTGTATATTGCAGAATTTAACTTATATCGCAGCAACATCGTGCACGTCTCCAGTGGCGTCGTGAGAAGGTCATCTGAGAGTCGAATGGTGCTATATAGTGTTCAATAATGAAAGTAGGTTCTACTTTCAAACTTGTGTATGTAACATAAACCTACGGAGCGACATCTTCTAGAATGTATTTGATCTCAAAACAGCTCCAACTTCTGATATCATGTCGTGGGATGCCATAATTAACAACTCTTACTAGCCTTTCGTGTTTGTTGAGGAAACGTTGAACAGCACTATTGCTCAAAATGTTCTGCTGGCAATCATGTAACATGCAAGCAATGTGCTGCTCCAGTAAGATAATGCCTGCCAACATTGTTGCCCGTGTTACTCAACTTGCATTGAAAATGAACATTAACTTCTATGACCACAACGATCACCATTGTCACCCATTGAATATATATAGAACATGATGGGACGACGTTCAGTTAGTTTGCTTACAATACTTGCTGCATTGCATCATTAGGTACAATGAGCGTACAATAATGGGGTATCTGCTAATTGTATGATCGTATGTATGCGAGAATACAGGTATGTGCTAACAATCAAGGTCTATATACAGTATGGTTTTGTTGATATTCTCATTATTTTGGAACCTATGAATGTTTACTGCAATCCAGCAACATTCACTGTACCGCTAATCGTGAATAAATTGCGATACATATTCAGGTTTTGGCCAGCGTAACACTTACCGGCGGCTACAGTACAGGTGTGTAAACAGTAGATTCTAAAAGAATTCATGCCAGTAGTGTAAAGTTTATCGGAGGGGATCGTTGAGCAGAGCTTGTTTCGGCCTAATCTGATGCATTCACTTTGTACTAATGCTCTTAAGAAAAGTATGAATCCATCTTTTACCACCATCAGATATAAATTAAATAACATGAGTGTCAGCAAGTCTAGAAGAAGGACTACTCTGAATTTAAAAACGTAGGTATTCATTCATGTTTTTCAATTTTAATAAAAAATTATGAAAGGATAACAAAAACCGAAAAATGTTGTTAATGCTATCGATATCATTGCGAGGTAATAAAAATTGCCATTTTCTAATCAAACCAAATAATACAGAATTTTAAACTACTACTTTAGAATGAAATAACAGACATAGGGAAAAATCTTAAATATTCGAAAACCACAAATTTTCAAATTGGTGGCAGGTAACATAAAATTTGTTACGTTTTTTTTTATTATTAAAAATGACAACTAGGTTAACAATATTTCCTTTTATTGATTTTTTTGCTTCTATTCTGTCCTTATTTTTCTATACAGGAAAGATGATGCTGAGCCACAAGAATCGGTCTTACTTAGAACAGTGGTCCCTATACTATGTGATACGGCACACTGGCGAGATGCAGCTATGAAAATAACTTACTAGGTTTTGACAGGTGTGAATACCGTAAATAGCATGGTGATAAAAATAGTTTTGTGTTTATCTTGCTGTCTACTCTGAAAGACTAAGGCATCAGAGTTGTGTAAATTTAGAGTTTTCTATTTTATTCTGGTGTTCAAGCATTCCCGTTGTGCGTAATGCTTTAATTTTTACGCAATTATTTTTCAAACACATATATTACACATAGATATGAAAAAGTTCGTTAAGAGGAAACAACACTAACAGTTGTGAATCTGAAAGTGAACGTTATTCATAATAAACAAATAAAATGTTGAAAACATTGACAATCGTGATTTAAATTTTTTTTTAACTGCCAATGAGAATCAACTCTTTCCACTGTGTGTTATTTATGACGAAACTACATCAAACGAAGTGAGTGGGTACCTATTAAGGTGAAAAGATATTTGACGACTAAACATCAATATCTCTAAGATTTAAAAAGTGTCAGAATAGAAGTCAAAAGAAGGAACTATTTTTTTAAAAAAATGGTTAAAAGCTTTTGAAATGTCTCTAATTGATTTGACTGAAATAGCTGACATGATTGATTTTAAAATACAGTCATATACTTTACTCAATGACATTTAAAAGAATCATTAAAACCTTGTTAGGGAATGAATCAGAACAGGAAGGTAAGCAAAATTACCCTTTCAGGTAATACAATTCATAGGCAAATCACGAATACGTTTCTTGATACAGATGAACACGTAAAAATAACTCGGAATTACCTTTGCAATTCAACGAATGTATTAGCAAGAGAGAACAATTACTTACAATTACTCGTTTTATTGATGAGAGGAAGTACAAATAATGAATCTATGTTTTGCAAAGAAATGCTAAAAAGAGGTCAAGATGCCTCGATTATTATTAGGAAGAAATACATGATGGGTTCTGTGAATATTTTCGATGCCAATTTTGTATAGCTAGAATGTCATAAATAACATAATAGCATCATATCAATTGTGCAAGGTAAAATTTATGCAGATCTGTTTTAGTAGCAAGTCCGACAAGTCCGACAAGTCCGACAAAGTAAAACTGGCAGCTGCTCTCGAAAAGGACCTCCAATCAGTGGTTAACTGGGGTGAGGAATACCTTTTAAATTTTAACGCCCCCAAAACAAAACTGCTTTCATTCAATCAACACTTCTTTATGTGCCGTGTCCCCTCAGAAAGTAGGCGATCATAGCTCTCCACAATTTCCTGTCCTTTGTAGCTCTTAATAGATTTTGTCTTTTCGTTATTTCTCCTAAAGCTTGTTCCACCATCCATTTACGTTTTGCGCTGTTTTCCTCTGCCCCTCTTGGCTTCAATCTGTCCTGTGTGTATAACATTTTTCATGACCTCCTTCCTCATTAGATGGCTTAGAAATTTCAACTGTAGTTTCCTTTTTCTTTCGAGTTTCTCTAAAACCTCGTCGTTGGTAACATGTTCAGTCAGCATCCTTCTGTAGAATCACATTTCTGTTGCTTCAAGTCTCTTCTAAATCTTTAAGGAGATTGTCCTACATTTACTGCCATACTGGAAAACAGACATCACGTTGCAGTTCAGTAGTCCTTTCTTTGTTTCTAAGAAAGATTTTCTGTCTCTCAATACTTTGCTTAGCTTTTGAAATATATCTTTGACTATCCCAGTATGTCTTCGGATTGTCACGCTTTCCATCCTCTGTTAGAACAATTCCCAGATATTTAATTTTTTTTTTACTTTTTTGATTTTGGTATCTCCGATTTGTAATTTGCATTTTGGCCTCATCCTTTTGCTAACAACCATACATTCTGTCTTCTTACAAATGATGTTTAATCCTTTCTCCTCGCTTTCCTTCACTACATTCTGTAGGAGCTTTTGCAGTTTTCTTTCCGTATCTGCTTTTCAACACTGCATATCTTTGTTAACAATGTAGCCGCCAATAATGAATCCTGGTAGGACATCTAATTCTTTCAGAATTGCCTTACTGTATAGGCTGAGTAAGTCCGGTGAGAAGACACATCGTTGTCTTACACCTCTTTCTATTTTTGTATATCAGCTGAACTCATTTTCTATCTGTATGCAGGCGGTTTTCTGCCAATTTTTTTATTATTCTAATATCCTTCCCAAATATGTTAATGTTGCTGAGGTTTTGCGTAATCTATAAAACACAGACACATGTCCTTCTGCATTTGTATTGCTCTTTCTGATAACATTCTGAGCATAAATATTGCGTTGATTCTTGATACAGTATCTTTGACGAACTGGCACTATTCTTGTCCTATCTCCGGTCTGATTCTACTTCTTGCTGTATTGATTAGAATTCGGATGATGAGTTTTGTTATCTTGCTCATTAGGCTGATTGTCTGATTGAGTTCATATTCATTTGCAGCTGGTTTCTTAGGCTGTCCCTTAAAAATATATCTACTTAGGTCTTCCGGTATATCGCTACTGTTTCAGATAGAGAACCTTTTCTGTCTGCCATCAGCATGGCTGATGCTAAACTCCAGAAGAGCATCACTTTGTCCGTTCTTGGGCTCACATTTTCCACTGATATGAAGTGGAATAATTGAATCAGTTGCTAGGTCTACTGTAAGGAAAGTTAATTTACTGTATAGACCAGACAATTCTCGTCATAATCCTTCTTACATATATATTTATAAATATACAATTTTGTTTGTGCATTGAATACTGCTGCTTTATCTGGTCTGGTGCTCTTACTATATATCACGATATTCTTGACAAAATTCAAAGAAGTGTCTGTAATGTACTCGATCCTAACCTATCATCTCGACTTCAGTCACTTTCCCATCCCCGTCAAATGGCTTATCTCCATCTTATCTACAAATATTTTCATGGCAATTGTTTTGATGAGCTTTCTTCCTTCTTAGAGCATCGATTGCATAAATTTAAGCGTGCTACTAGATAGGCAACTAGGTCTTACCGTTTTACTAGTTAAATGCAACTGTCTGTTCTATTCTAATAGTTTCTTTTTTCTCACACTTCTCGCTTGTGAAGCTCCCTTCCCATTTCTTGCTTCACTGCCAAATACAATCTTCAAAAATTTAAATGCAACGTCAATCACTATCTTCCAGAAATCTTTTCCTTTATTATTCTTTTCCTTACTTCGCCCCACTAAAGTTTTCTCATTCACTTTCACTCCATGTAACCCCCACCTCCGAGTCCTAATGGCATTATCGCCTTGCTTGGGGTGAAATTAATAAGGAAAAATAACAAAAAACAAAGATGAAATTATTTAATTTCGATAGATAAACTAGTTTCGTTTCAGAAAAAATATTGGAATAAATGAGGATAAAGAGAATAACTTTGAAATGTTTTTTTTAAGAGACCAAAATTAACATAAAACAAATCCTATTGTAGTAGCGTATTTGGTAAATTTGGAACAGGAATTAAACTTCTTATTCCATAAATAAACATAAATGATTGCAACTGAATTCAAAGGCTACTTATCTTGAAAATCCAACTTTCAGTGGCGTAATTATAAGTGAATCGAAGTTCTTCACATTAAGAAAATGTTGTATGTATCGACATAAGTGAGAAACCGAAAATGCCAGGTCAGGTGAATACGTTGGATGGAGAACGACATCCCAGTCCAGCTGAGACAATTTCTGCCGAGTTTGCGATGAAACGTTAGGTCTAGGGAACCACAAGCCATTGGAATGATGATTTACCGAATTGAATCCGATAATCTAGTTTAAATCAAGTTAATCATAGTTTTGAGCTTTGGTGTAAATATTGCATGATTAATTCGGGGTTGGAGCTGCGCAATATTCCCACTTTGTTATATATTATTGTATTTGCATTAATTCTACTGATAGTGGAATATCAATAGGAGCACTAATTTGCGTTTACATTTGAAGTATAAATCAGTTGTTAAAGCCCTGCAGTTCAGCAGAATTGGTCGAAAATATCAGTTTAGCATCACACGTTGTCAAGAAAGAAATTAGACGCTATTAGACAGTAAACCTTTCTGACGTTAAAAAGTGCCGAGTGTTTTTTTTTTTTGGTATGATCGGTGTACACAATTTAATACCTTATCTGTTTAAACTATAACTCTACTCTATCCTTTTAAGACAACTCTTGTTTTGAAATCAGATATTTAGCAAAAAGACGGTTGTGACATTCATGCGAATATTGAAATTAATATGACTAATAAAAGTGTTAGTAATGGATAAGGTGAATGCTCCTTACCTTCACAGGTACACAGATGAGTACAAGCATAAGGTCAGCTGTTGCAAGGCTTAGTAGGAATATATTGGTGATACTCCTCATGCCTTTGTGTCGAACGATGCAGAATATCACTAAGGCATTTCCAACGACGCCCAGAAGAAGAGTGAAGACATATACGAATCCAGCTGGTATAACTTCTTCGAGAGGGATACCCGAATCCACGTCGTTATAAATACAAAAAATATATTCGTCATATTGGTGAGTAAGATTGAAAAGGTCACTGCATTCCCCTTCTATCTCTGGATCGCTCATCATCAGTGCTTTCTTTGGAAAATGCTGGTAGGATCTGTCAAATACAGGATATTTGTTTTGATAGTCAAGTACACAGGTCAAGTTTCTAGTCCGACGAGCAAGGGGAAATCTTACAAATTTACAAATGGTATATTCAAGAGATATTAGGAATTACCTGTGCACACACACACACACACACACACACATTATATATATATAAAACTAGCAGTAGAGCCCGGCGTTGCCTGGGGATGTAACAGTAAGCGATAGATCAAGTATGGACGATCATAAAGACTGAAAAATAAAATTGACAAAGATTATTGTTTAAGGTTGACGGACACGCATGTCTTAATTAGTTTTTTTTTTTTTTTTAACGAATTGGTCAAACCCAAATTCAAACGAAAACATTGTTTACAATCGTTATGATTTATGGAAATAATACAGTAATTCCATCTACGTTTTACGCGCGTGCGAGTTTTCCTCCCTTCCTTCCACACTTGTGTGTGTGCGCGCGCGTCCACTGATTACACCCTTCCTTTCTCGTTAAGCTAAATATAGTAGTAAACCTTTTTCTTTAGTTATTTAAAACTAATTACAAGTTATTGTCGTTTTATCAGCTCCTGCTGATGTCACCAATCTAACAAATTTAAATTACCGTTTTTGCCGCGTTTTTCTCTGACGTCACCGACAAACTAATCGTTTGAGTTCAGTCGGACTAAAAATTTCGATCCATGAAGTTGACTCATTTATTCCTCGTCAGTCAACCTTAAATACAAACAGGGATATCTTACTGACAACAAATAATTCTTCATCCCTTTTGGCTCGTCGCAAATAATTTTCTTCAAGACAATGCAACCAACAAAAAATAAGTCTTCGTTTTTAGCAGCAAATTCAATGCCTGATCCCAAAATCTGAGATGACTGAACATTCTCACGACCGTGAACCTGAACAAAAAAAAGGGTATAAAAAACAAAAACAACACAAAAACACTACACACACTTACAATACCCAAATCCACAGTAAGTACTTTTTTATCTGTGCATCTACACCTCGTGTTAACGAGTTCCTTTTTCCAGAACTTAAAAAAAAAAAAAATTTTCCGCCTTGTTCACCTTGCTATCCTATTTTGGCGCTGGAACATTTTCCCTGATCTCGAACCACGAGATAATCTTCTTGTTTTTCCACTTAATAAAAAAATTACACTTGTTTTGAAAAAAAAACTTTTCCCGCCTTGTTCACCTTGCTATCCTACCAAAAAAAAAAAGTGAAATTTTGTTGAAATCGGTTGAAAAATGTAGATAGCCTTTCTCTGTAATCTTTTACAATTTATGATTTTTACTTATTGAATACAGTAAAAAAAATTGCATATTTTGCTTGTGGTGATTCATAATTAGAATTCTGATTTTCCACTCGTTGTTTCTAATACAAAAATATTAACGTTATTTGGGTTTATTAATTTATTACAAGTACTGTGTTCTTTCCTTAATAATTATCATCTTCGAAATATTGTTGTTTTTTGTCTATCAGATTTCTTACGTCGGCATTTTAAAATTATTTCTTAATACTTTCTTTTAAATATTGAATTAATTTCAAATAGAACCAATGCCTTATTGATCTGCCTTGTAACAAATTGCAAAGGGAATTGAAAAAACGGCACTAAAGTACGTGGAATTATCTTTCCCTATTTTATCAAATCGAAAAAAATGATTGATTATCTGTCCTTTTTTTTTTACCAAAAAAAAAAACAATATTTTTAACGAAAATTTCAGACGTGCTAAGAACGATTAAAAAATGTAAAAAAAAAATACCCCCAAAATACTTTGATCTTTCCTCTTTAATAATAATATGAACATTAGACGATAAAATTTTGTTTTCGTCAAGTTCGGCTTTTTTTTCATCATGCCACGCTCTTTTGTTTAAATTTTCGTGGGTGAGTTGTCCCCTTTCATTCTCAATGATGTGTCTTAATCGTGTTTTCAAATTGATTTTGTTTAAAAAACAATGTGTTTTTCCCATTTTCGGCGCCGTAAGAACCACCACAAGGTAATTTTATGTAGTCCTGTGAAGTTTTGTTGAAATCGGCTAAAAATGTAGGAAATTCGATCCAATATATAAACGTTACAGACACACACACACGCACACACACACACACAATCTGCGTTTTATAATAAGTAAGATGACATACATACGAAACTTATACATAAAAATATACATAAATAAATAAAAAATAAAAATCTACGCTTAAACACATAGCACCAAATATTCTCCCCCACCCCCCGTAAATAAATATTTATGAAAGCATATAGCTGTATATACTAATAGCAGTTACATGCACACGCACAAACACACGCACACACATGTGGGTGTGTATTTGTTTGTGTGTGTGTGTGCACGCGCATAGCGTCCAGAATATCATGAAATCTTGATTTAAACACTAAAGGAAAAAGAATTGGAGCAATAAATTAACAAATAACATCCAAAAATGACATCTATGAAAACTCTTCAAAAATATTTTTTCAGGAATTTATTTTCAAAGTTCTTGTTCAAATTCGTTAAAATTCTTTTACAATTTTCTCTTCCGATACGAATGAAAAGAAATCATCTATTTATTAATTTTATTTACATTTTTGTCTTCACTCTTGTTGGTAATACCAAATTTGCTTCCTACTAATATTATATTTATATTAAAGTTCATAATTGTTCGGATTCTTTTGTTAGTTTCTTTCATTATTGCTGTCATCGCTATTATTGTGTTAACCAAAAACTTTATTTGTTATTTGTATGAGGAGCGTTTTGTTTAAAATTGCATTTACAATATTTAAAGATTTGTAATTCAAATTAAATAAATTCAAATAATAAATTCAAAAAGTCATAACTTAATTCAAAATATTGCTTTCATGCGTACATTTTTGTTTTCTAAAAATTTCGAAATTTTTGTTTATTGACTGTAAATGAAGAAGTAGTGAAAAGGGAAGAAAATAAGTAACATTTTTGACATATTATTTTCATATCTTAAGAAAGTTAAAAATACATTGCAAACAAAGATTTGTGAAGGTTATGGAGAAAGTATGATCAGACATACAGGAAATGGTTTACAAAATTTCGCACAGGAGAAAAAAAAACTTTGAAAATCATTTTCCCCATCTTGGTTATGTTAGTATTTTTACGTTTGACTTCTACTTATGTTAAGCGAAAAAGAAAACTTACTGTGTCGTATTCCAGCGTGCAATTCACAAATAAAAATTTAATGAAAATCTTTTGTTTTCGAAACAAATTGTACCTGGTGATGAAAAGTGGATACTTTATGACGACGTGGAACGAAAGTTATCGTTGACCAAGTGTAATAGTTTAACAAAAAAAAAGATGATGTAATGTATATGTTGGATTAGGACAGAGCCCTGTACTATGAGATCTTTTAGGAGAAAGAAGCGATTGATTCAAACAAGTATGGCTCCCAATTAGATCAAGTAAATGGATTAGTAGATAAAACGTAAAAAAATATAATATATCATCAGAATTAAACTAAATATTTACAGCAATCAATGTTCTGGTTTTCAAATTAAACACCTCATTTATTTATGTCTTTTGCATTGCGTTACTAAAAATATGATCATGGCAAATATACGTTTCAGAATTACAATATTTTACATAACTTGTTTCCGTTTCAATGTAATACCTTTATTTGTCATCAAAAATGGGTGATGAGGTTCTTCTGAAGTTTCTGGTTGGATATTAAAAAAGTGTGCAGTTGGGACTCTCTACTGAGCAATTTCGAATAACGTTTACATTTGTTGTGTTTTTCAGTGCCACACTTACATACCTCCTGTGTGAATCACCCATCAAATAAAATTTGTCCTAAAATTTAAAAAAAAAAAATTAAAAGTTCTGTAAATGTTTTGCAATTTTGTAAGAATATTTAAAATTGATAAAAAGTTCTTCAATAAAAAATAAGATCTGTAACAGTTTATTGTTTGTTTATTTTTATGCAAAATACATTGATTACATTTTCGGTTCGTAAGGTAGATAACTGCTGTAAATATTCTGCTTTCGTATCACACGAAACGAGATCTTGAAATTTTTCAAATGACTCTTTTTGCCAATTCTATATATTTGTAGCTACCAGAAAACTATATTGAAATTTATTACTAATTGCGAATACTTCGGGGATGGCACGAAAGCAAATGGCGAGAAATATACATCAAAGGGAATAAAAGCAATTATGAAACTCAAGAAAGATTAACATCATTAAGACACTCTTTAAAAATAATTTGTGCAAATTTAAATATACTTCAGAACGAGTTCATTAAATGTCAGGATGTTTACAAAAAAGTCTGCTGAAATGTCCTACTAATTTTCTATATTGCAATAATAATAATGTTACATTATGTATTACAGTATGTATCGTTTTATATCAAATAAAATGTTTTTCTTTGAATTTTATTTGTTGTTAGCTATTTGCCTATTCAAGAATAGGCAAATAGCTAATTTGACACGAGAAGAAATGTAAAGAATTATGGGAAATTTAACACGGATGAAACTCACGAGCAATGACTTACCATTTGAGCTTGGTAACTATATAAACATGAGATTTATGTTATTATTGGTCATGAGTGTGAAAAGTTCGCAATAAATTTCTTTTGCTTAAGGAAAATAAACAGCTTTTAAATGAATCCTTTTCTATCATTCATTTAATTTTTAAAGGTATTTCTTTATGCTATCAAACATCAGTTTAATGTCAGATATCTGTAAAAACAGGAAAATTCCAGAAAAGTTAAAACTGGCAAAATATATCAATTAAATTTTATGTCTGAAGCACAAACAGCATTTGTGTTTAGTCACGCTTCATTTATTTTTAGCACACACTGCCCACTCCTTTTTCACAGGAGCATCCATCTTTATCACGCGATACAATGTTTTTACATTGGTATTATATTTTGATTCAAATAGTTCTTAAGTTTCACGCACAAAAACACACACACGCACACACTCATAGACACAGACACACGGATACACAGACATATATG